CCCCCAGATCCCTCCAGGCCCCCTGCTGGCCTCCCAGGGGAGCAGAGCTGCACCCAGAGGGCTCCCCCTGGTGGAGGAAGGAGGAAGGAGAGCGGCCAGAGTGGAGGGGAGCCTCCTTTCCAGGCTAAAGAGCCCCAAAGGTCCCAACCTTTCCTCAAAGGGAGGCTCCTTCCACTACCCCGCATCGCCTGAGTCGCCTCCTCTGGACCTTCCCCAGCTCCCTCCGGTCCTTTTCTGGGGTCTTTGGAGCAGAAACTGAAGAGAATATTCCAGATGTGGAGGCACCCTTGATTCATGTAAAGGTTTATGACATTAGCCTCTCTGTGTTTTCAATACTATTTGAATGATCCCTGATATCCTGTTTGCCCTTTAAATTTGTTATAAAATTTGTATTAAACTTTTTGAACAAAAAACAAAAACTAATAGAAAGTAACCTAAAGTAAAGGAGATAAAAGAAAGAAATCAAAGAAAAATAAAAAGTAGAAGAAAAGAAAACAATTAAAGAAAATAAAGAAAGAAAAAAGACATAAAGAAGTGATTTTTGATATTCTTCACGGCAGTTCTAAATATAAATGTGTTTTAGCCCCTCTTAAGCAGCCTTCCTCAACCTTTTGACCCTGGAGGAACCCTTGAACTATTTTTCAGGCCTCAGGGAAGCCCTGCACATCCAGGCTCAAAGATAGGCTGAAATTGTTTCATGCATAGAGCTGTAGAGATGCATTAATAGTGTTCTTACACTAAATATTGTTCTGTACAGTCATTTACATTCTCGCAAGCCCCGCGCTGCGATTGGCTGAAGCGCGCAGCGACCGGATTGGGCGAGCGAGCCGCACTGATTGGCCCGTTGCGAATCCCCCGCGATTGGTGGAAACTAATCGCGGGAGATTCGAGGCGGTGCCATTGGCCGCGGCCGCCACGGCTTGGGAATAAAAGCCGCAGTCCTTTCCCTCCAAACCTAAGCTGTAACCGGAGCACAATAAAGAGCTGAAACCCAGTCACTGATTCCGAGCTTCCTTCCCGCGCCGGACACGACACTGGCAACGAAGGTGGGATCCAGAGAATAACCACCGAGCACGTGTCCCGCGGAAGACAAAGACCGACAAGATGGCCAGCATGACCCCACCAGCACCATTCAACCCGACTACCGAGGACTGGGAATCGTACACGGACAGATTCCTAATGTTCCTCGAAAGTAGCAATTTGAAGGATGCGAACGGGCAGAAGAAAAGGGCCGTTTTCCTCACACACTGCGGGCCCGCAGTGTTCAAGATGGCCAAAGCCCTCGCAAAGCCCGAGGATGTGAAGGCGATGGACTGGGCTGATCTCGAGCCACTCCTTCGGAACCACTACACCCCCGCTGTGCCCATCCTCATCTGGCGGGACGAGTTCTATCGGCGAAACCAGCAGCAGGACGAGAGCATCAGCGACTTCATAGCCGCCTTGCGGGACCTAGGGGGGATGTGCGAGTTCCGGGATCTGGACGATGCCCTCCGAGACCGCATGGTCCTAGGTCTCAGAGATCAGGCACTGAAAAGTCGACTGATGGCAAAAGGCAACATCGACCTCGGGGACGCCCTGGCCGAGGCCTCTGCGGCCGAAGCCACCCGAAAGTCAGCAGCCAGGCTTCGGAGGGCAGAAAACGGGGACCGCACAGAAACCCCCGAGGCAAGCCGACGAGAGACCACCACACACCACGGGGACCTGGACTCCGCCTCCGATACCACGGAAGAGGAGGAAGACGTCCACCGGCTACAAACAGGACGGGACCAACGAGATCAGCAGGGTCGTAAGTCGGGGAACCAGTGCGCCGGGTGCGGGGGAAATCACCTTCGATCAGAATGCCGGTTCATCGACGCGATCTGCCGGCATTGCAACAAGAAGGGCCACATCGCCCGAGTCTGCCGACTCAGAAAAACACACAGCCCCCGCCGGCGAGAACCGAGCAGCCGGGGACGAGACGACACCCCCCCGAGGACCAGAGATCGCCAAGCCGACAATCGCTGGAGCCGAGACAACCGGGGGCGACGGAACGGGGAAGGCCGCCAGAGAGAAGAAACCCACCAGACGGTCACCATCGGCCATGCCGAAACCACTGACGCCCGGAAGGTCTACGTGGAGGTGAGCATCGAGGGCGAGCCAGGCCGGATGGAGGTAGACTCCGGATCCTACCTCTCCATGGTCGCCTGGAAAGAACTCAAGCGACTGGTGCCAAACATCCAGAAAAGAGGACTGGAGAACCAGAAGCTGATCATCAAGGACTATCAGGGGAACCGCATCCCCGTCATTGGGACCGGACAGTTCGAGGTGACCTTCAAGAACCGGACCGCGAAGCTTCCCCTGACAATCGTGGACCGAAACCGACCCAGCCTCCTAGGACTCCAATGGTTCGCACCACTCGGAATCGAGGTCATGGGAATAAACCACACCACAGAGGCCGACTGGGAGCAGCAACTGGCGAGGGACTTCCAAGAAGTATTCGACGGCACCCTAGGCAAGTACCGAGGGCCCCCTATCTCCTTCAGCCTAGACCCAAATGTCGCCCCCATACGCCTAAAACCCAGACGGGTGCCTTTTGCACTCCGGAAGAAAATAGACGAGCAGATTGACAAGCTCGTCAAACAGGGGGTTTTGCAGCCAATCGACCATGCCCGGTGGGAGACCCCTATAGTCACCCCAGTCAAGCCAGATGGGTCAGTAAGGATCTGCGGGGACTATAAGGCCACCCTCAATTGCGCCCTGCAACAAAGCGCCTACCCCGTCCCAGTGGTGCAACACCTATTACACTCGCTGGGGGGGGCAAGGTCTTTGCGAAGCTCGACCTGGCGCAAGCCTATCAGCAACTGCCGGTCGATGAAGAAACCGCCGAGGCGCAAACAATAGTCACCCACCGGGGAGCGTTTCGCTGTAACCGACTCCAGTGGAAAGACTGCTGCGAGGAATAAAAGGGGTGGTCCCCTACTTCGACGACGTACTAGTGTCAGCAGCCAACCGGGAAGAACTAGAGGGTCGCCTAAGGGAGGTACTAGAAAAATTCAAAGGGGCCGGGCTAAAGGTGAAGAAAGAGAAATGCCAGCTATGCACAGAGCAAGTCGAGTTCCTGGGGTACCTCCTAGACCGACATGGCATCCACCCAACCGGAAGCAAGGTCAAAGCCATAAAGGAAGCCCCCACACCCAAGAACAAAACAGAGCTGCAGGCATTTCTGGGACTGCTAAATTTTTACAATGTGTTCTTGCCCCAAAAGGCGACCGCGGCGGAGCCCTTGCATAGGCTCCTGGACAGGACGGCCAAATGGACCTGGGGGAAACGGGAGGACACCGCATTCAAGAATACCAAAGACCTGCTCACCTCGGATGCCGTTCTCATTCAGTATAATGAGACCCTACCCATCGCCGTCACATGCGACGCCTCACCATTTGGCGTCGGCGCCGTCCTCAGCCATACACTCCCAGACGGAAAAGAAGCACCCATCGCTTTCTTTTCAAGAACACTCAGCAAACCCGAAAGAAACTACAGCCAATTAGATAAGAAGGCACTGGCCATCGTCGCAGCAGTAAAGAAGTTCCACGAGTACCTCTACGGCCGCCGATTCACCCTCATCACGGACCACAAGCCGCTGCTGGGCATCCTGGCGGGGAACAAGGCCACCCCGAACATCCTATCCCCCAGGATGACAAGGTGGTCTGAGTTCCTCGCCGCCTACGACTACCGGCTCACACACAGACCCGGTAAAACGATCTCCCATGCAGACGCGTTGAGCCGCTCGCCGCTTCCCGACCTAGACGACGATCCAGCTCCCACGACGGCCACCCTCAGCATAGAGACATTGCCGGACCTACCCATAACCGCGTCAGACATTGCCCGAGAGACTAATAAAGACAAGCGTCTGGCGCGGGTATTACATTGGGTAGAAAAGGGATGGCCAGAGAAAGACAACGATGAAGCATTCAGGACATTCCGAAACCAGCAAACAGAACTGTCACTACAGAAAGGTTGTTTGCTATGGGGGGACAGGGTGGTCATACCGGAAAAATTGCAAGGGAAAGTATTAAAATTGTTACACGAAGGGCACCCGGGCATTGTGAGGACTAAAGCTTTGGCCAGAAGCTACGCTTGGTGGCCAGGTATGGACAAGGAGATCGAGGCCTGGGTAGCCAAGTGCTCGCGCTGCCAAGAAACCAGACCAAATCCCCCCGCAGCACCAATATTAGAATGGGAAACACCCAGGGGGCCATGGTCGAGACTCCATATAGATTTTGCCGGGCCCACAAAAGGGAACACATT